AGTTTACTGACCTCTTTTTCGACACTGGACTTTGCTAATGGATAATCCCCAGACGGACTGAACTAAGTGTATGATATATGGACTGTTTGACTATGCTAAAAACTCTAACTGGAATAAACTGTTTAACTTGCACAGTGTATCTGTTTTACTGAGTGTAAACTACAACAACGTTTATCTCACATATTCTGCCTGCCTGACTACCATTGCACGTTCTGCTAGGGTGTATATCCCTAACAATTACTATGAAAAACTGTAACATCAAGAGAATGTTCACGAAGAAAGAATTCAACAATACTTACAGGAAGCAAATTTGCCTCAGATACCAAAAGATATTGAAATAATGTTAGAAAGTAACATAACAATGATGGAATTAACAGAAGCTTTAAAAAAGCAAAACATTGGGAAAGCACCAGGTCCAGACGGTTTGCCAGTGCAATTTTATAAGACATTCCAGGAAACATTGAATCTTCACTTATTAGAAATTATGAATGAAGTTATGACAAAGAAGAGAATACCCAAAACATGGTCAGAAGCATATATCACACTTGTACCGAAGGAGGACACAGACCCACAGCAAGTTAAAACATGACTTGCTGTTAGGGTGGCATGCCTTCCTCTGGTATAAGGGAACTAAAACGCAGGGGTATTTTAGAAGACATTATATTTGAGAAGCATTGTTTCTAAACTGGGAGAAGATAAAAAAGCAATATTGTTTAAAAATTCCACTATGGTTATCTACTATTGAAGCTTTTTCCTATCCAATAATATATAAAAAGGAACAAACAGTTAGGTATGGTGAGATATTAAATGAAGAGGGTGAACTTAAATCTATGCAAGCGTTGGAAGAACAAGGTGTAAAAATGAATTGGTTTTCATATTTGCAAATACAATCTAGATTTGATAAAGATGTTAAAACAGAAGGTATCTATGACAAGTTGACTGATTTAGATAAAATTTTGACAGGTACTAATGAAAAAGTAATCAAAAAACTTTATGGACATTTGCTAGAGTTTAAATTAGAGGAAGAACAAGTAAAAGAAACAATGATTGCATGGGAGAAAAATTTCGGATATGGGATTGACTTAGATAAATGGCAAAAATTGTGGTCTCAAAATTATAAAATGACAATGTCAACTGCATATAAAGAAAATTTGTATAAGATGTTTTACAGGTGGCACTTACCCACAATGAGAATTGCCAGGATGTTCAAGAATAAATTGGATAAATGTTGGAAATGTCATCAGATACCTGGTTCATATTACCACATGTGGTGGACATGCTCGGATGCAAAAAGATATTGAACTATAATCCACACATGGTTGGAAAAAATGACAAAACAACACATAGACTTTAAACCTGAGATATTTTTATTGGGAATTATACCGGAAATATATTGTAAAGAATTGAAATATTTGATTGTAAATGTTTTAACAGTGGCTAGAATTGTATTTGCTAAGAACTGGAAAAATGAAAAAATACCTATGCAGGAGGAAATTATTAAGAAAACCATGGACTGTGCTGAAATGAGTAAATTGACATTTGAAATTAGAGAACAAGAGGATAAACAATTTTATATGATATGGGATTTATTTTATCAATGGTTAGATAAAAAGACATGGTAAAGAAATAGACTACTAAGCCTTACAATAAAAGTTAATAGATTGATATAGAATACAATATAAAATATATAACCATTGGATGAATGTATAAGATTAAATCATAATGAAAATTAGAATATCTCATATAAAATGATGGAAAAATAGCCAAATGAATGTTTAATAATTGATATTATGTAAGCACAAGCTAGATCGATAAGGTGGGAATTTATATAACTTGTGAGTAATGGTAAAAAAAGGATAGCACAAAAGATTGTAACCAACTGACACACTGTATGTATATAATTGAAAGATGGTTTTATGTTTTTATGTTTTGTTCGTATGTTTGTTGTAAAAAATAAAAACTTTGTTTAAAAAAAAAACCCCAAAGATCTGTTTAAAACAGGAGTCTTCAAACTTGACACTTTAAGACTTATGGACTTCAACTCCCAGAATTCCTCTTCCAGTCATGTTAGCTCAGGAATTCTGCAAATTGAAGTCCACAAGTCTTAAACTTGCCAAGTTTGAAAGTCCTTGGTTTAAAGCAAAGATCCTAGGGTTAAGAAGGTGAGTCTGGCCCACATGAGGGGTTTTTTGTGACTATTTAGAGATATCTTAATGCCTGACCTGTGAATCCTTCCTAGTGAATTCTTTTAACAGCTCCAACACTAGTAAATGGTACCCATACATTGTGCTGTGTCCCAAAACCTAGGCAGAATCTGTCCATGTTGATGCCAGTATTGGAACTCCAGGCTAAACACTGATTTGAGAAGCAATTTCAGTTTCTCATAGTCTCAAATTGTATAACAGTTTTATTTTGGAGGTTTATTGAAAATTTAAAATGGCAGAAATTAGCCTTAGTTAAATACTGTAAGGACTATTCTTCAGGGGACAGGGAATTTTAGTAAATTTCTTAAAAGTTACATAATATTTCAACTCTTGGAGATCTGTAAGTGTTTGTGGGCCACAGTTAGTCTGCAGAATGTAATTTTCCCACACCTGTTTTAAGACTAATTATGTTCTGTGCCAATAGCACTCCATTCTTCTTTGCAAATCAGCTCCCTGATTTCTATTAGTGAAATGCATAACCCCTGGTGGTTCATCACAATCAGAACTAAACAGCTGAGAGCAGAGGTTATTTGAATCTTTATAGAAGAAATAGATAAATTGTTTTCTTGTAATCAAGCTGAAGTCTCAAGGACACTGAAAACATTTGCATTCACATCTTATGATAATCAGAAATTAAATTGAAATAATCTAAATATGGCCTACATTGCTGCAATTGCTATTAGTCTTTACAGTTTCTTTTGGCAACTTTAAGACCTGTGGACTTCAACTCCCAGAATTCTCCAGCCAGCATAGTTGCCAAGTTTGGGGACCCCTGCTTTAAAGAAATGAATGTGTAATGACTCTTGTAATGTATTTAATAGAGGTTGGACTGAAATTCACTGTGGTTTACACAAATGGGGGGGGGAATAAAACCACTTTAAGGTAATTTTGTTCCTATTTTTAACATAATGTACTCTTCAAGTAGAACAGGTTTCTGCATATAATTAATATCAACTCAGTTTAATGAATAATTCCACATTTAAATCTTATTCAATTATTTGAAACATAGTCACAACAACCAGTGGAATGGCTTGCCTCCAGAAGTTGTAGGTGCTCTCTCACCCATTTTTAAGAAAAGATTGGACAGCCATTTATCTGAAATAGTGTAGGGTCTCCTGTTTGAACAGGTGGTTGGACTACAAGACCTCCAAGATCCTTTCCAACTCTGTTATTCTATTCTATTTTTATGATATATTAATGATTAAGCTACTCAGTGTAAAATCAATATAACTGAAATTTCACCTGGAGTTTGCTTGAGTAAAGCTCATCAGAGGACTTTAACGTCACATTTTATTGGAATTAGATATACTTAGATCTTTAGCTGTAGTAGAGATAGAGGTCCTGTAGCGGGCGCGAGCAGCATACTGCTGTACCTCAAAGCCTACATGGCCTCAAATACCTACATGATCTCACTCAGCAGAACACTGTCCCTGGCTGGTACATGATCTCACCTGGCTAACATCACCAATTCCTTACTTGTATATTCTTAAGGATTGGCAGTCAGAATTTACCAATAAAAATACTGTTGCTGCTTTACCTTTTTCTGCTTATAAAAACTGTATAAAAGCAATAAACACTGCTCAGGCAGTCAGACATCTTGGCACCCTGCAAATGGCTGGTCTTTGACTCCATCAGCTGATGCCTGAACAGGGACATAACCCCCCCCAACATACTTACCATTGTCTGGAATACCCCTAGGTGCACCTCTGTCCTCTGGGTCCCCTCAGTGGTAAGTATGGGTTGCAATCTATCTCAACACCAGTATAAACATGTACAGGAACTCAGATTCCTGTTACACAAGTCAGGCATTACAGCGCCTGAGGCAGACATAACAAAGCTGGTAGAGGAGGTAGGGAAACATTATCCCTGGTATCCTGAGCATGGGACACTCCGGTTAAGGGGTTGTATAAAGATAGGGCATACTTTATATCTTGAACCCCAGGCTCCAGTTCAAATATTACATTGATGGTATCAATGCCGTCAAGCAGTGGAAAAATTTGGCTCTGATGCTTCAGCAGGATAACAATTGACTACAAGCCCCCACCTGATTACGATCAGGTAAAAATTGTCACCCTGAAATCTTCTCCAATTGGTCCTTCAGCTCCTTCTGAGGAGGCTAAATCTTTTGCTTCTCCATGGCCATTGTACACCCCCATAAGGCAAGTATTAGAGGAAAAATTAGAAAAGGGGGGAGATTCAAGCTAGAAAAGGAACATGCCCAGGGCAGAGATGCATAGTAACAATTTATTTATTTTAAAATTTTATTTTTAATCCCTTTTAATTATTTAGTGCTTAAGGAGATAGAACAATGGCTGTAACTTTGACTAAAAGTGAGAAGTTCACTAAAATAATTATGAAGAATCTCAAATTGTAAATAGACCTGAGTAGTCCTTTAGGGAAAAATACTTAGAGGTTGGGAAGCTCCTCCATACAGTACATTGGGGCTGATCAAAGAAGATATGGTTAATTTATGCTGTTATGTGTGGTAGAAAGAACTAAGAGAAGAAGAAAATGTTTATTGTTCTTTCCACCCAGGGTTTAGGAAGTAATAAAAAACATAAAGGCTTTGCCTGTTTAAATGGAAAGACTCAGATAATTTGACTTGATCAATTTGATGTGATTTCTATTAAAAATTCTTATATGTGCATGTATAATAATTGCATGCAGAATTGAATAGGATTGAAGAAAAATATCCTTTATCTGTGTATGGCCCCAATTGGGGCTGCTGCAGTTCAAATTAAAATAATTGTGACATGTTTGGCCAGAGAATTAAATTGGCTTTTTGGATTGGACCTAGAGCTGTGGGAAGCAGGTAGGCAGTGGTTAGGGCCCACAATCACATTTGTGATTGGAACCACTCCTTGAGTTATCCCACTGCTCTGAGAACAAACTTCAGGTTGTCCAAAGGAAGAAAACATGGAGATTTAAAGGGACAAAACCTCCCCAGGTCTGGAAATGTTTTGTGTGAGAATGTGTCTATGTGTAATCATTTCCAGACCTGGAGGATGAGACCCTCTAATAACAGTACACAAAATTATTTAGACAATGGAGCTCATTGGCTCCCAGAAAAGAATTGTAAGTATGCAAGCAGTCTGATTACAGTACAAATTTGTGAGTATGTTGATGGTAAAAAGTTGGTGTAAATGTCTCTGTGTTGACCCCCATTTCAGATTAAAAGGAGAGTAAGAAGAGATAGCGTGTGCAAGGATATGAGAAAGGTCCCATGGAGAAATGTGTGTGATTTACTGGAGAGAGAGAATTATTTCCCCCAACACCCCCCCACTTCTTGTCCTTGCTGGTTGTTAATTTTTCTTTCTCTTGCTCAAGGACTTTTTGCCCTGAAAAAGCAAGAGAAGCAGGAAAAGGAGGGGGGAGTGAGGCTTTTTGCTCACATTAACAATTTTTGTCTCTGCTTTGAGCTTTTGCCTGAGATGGCTAGGCTGAGTTTGCCTAGAACATTATCTTTGAAGGTGGCTCAGTTCCCAGTTTACAATGGAGCTCAGCTCAGCAAGGGAATCAAAATTCAAACCAGCTGCACTCTATATATACTCTTAATCCATATTTTGATCAAAGCAGAGAATAGACACTAAAGTTTGAATCAAAATACCCCTCCCTGATGTGTTGGTTCTGTGATTGTACATGTCAGTGTGACGGTGCATCGCAAAATGACTTATATTTTAAAGTTCCGGGGGAACTATTGGAGTTCTGGAGGGTTTACAACAAGAATGTGAAGAACGCATAACTATTACCGGCACACTATTGGATAATGAAGGATTTGGGGGGGGGGATTTTTAATAATAGGAAGCAAGCCTTATTTATGGCAGGTAAGGTTATGCTGGGTTTGATCTGTTTACCATGTTTTATACCTCATCCCAAAATGTCTTGCCATTTATCCAAGCTGTTGCTGAAATAATAATCTTAGGGCGCACTTGAGCTTGCTGTAGAAATGGGAGTGATTTAATGAATATTGTTCTTCCTATCCCGAAATCTGATTTTCAATTTTATTTCCAAAATAACTTATCTGTTCAGTGTGCTTTAACTGACTATGTAGGCTGTATTGCATATCATTTGCCTAAAGATCCTTGGCTTGCTTGCTTAATGACTTCTTCCTTTCCTGTCCACCCACTGCTTTCTCCTTCTCCATTGCCACAAGCTCCTACTGTTTTTTCCGATGGTGGGTGAACGAGATGAGCAATTGCTTACAAGGATCCTCATGATGATACCTGGAAAGTGTCTTACACAGCAGTACAATCCTCTCCGCAACGTTCAGAATTATCTGCTGCAATTTTAGCTATCCAAACTTTTTCTCAACAGCCTTTCAATTTAATCTCTGACTCTCATTATGTGTGTCAATTTATTTTTAATCATCCAGGTGCTTATATCACGCCCAGGATTGACCCTAATCTCATGGCCTTATTTTAACTTTGCAGCGGCTGCTACAAGACCAAAGACATTTATACTTTGTTTCTCACATACGCAGTCACTCTTCTCTTCCTGGGCCTCTTTCTGAAAGCAATAGTCACACTGATGCTGCTGTTCATGTTTTGCCTACTTTGTTTTCAGATCTTTTTCAGTCACTCTTTTTTCCATCAAAACGCTAGGGGGCTGGCACAAGCTTGCCATATGCCACTTGATCAAGCCAAACAGATTGTTTCATCCTGTCCCCAACGTTCTGGAGCATCCCCCTCAGGGGACATGGGAGTTAATCCCCATGGTTTCACCTCTAATCAACTTTGGCAAATGGATGTTACCCACGTTCCTTCTTTGGCTCCCTGGAAGTATATTCATTTATCTATTGATACCTATTCAGGAGCGATTTGGGCCATGCCTCAACGAGTGGAAACTGCTAATCATGTTATTTCTCATCTTTTTTCAGCCATTACAGCCCTAGGCAAGCCCTCGTCTTTAAAAACTAATAACAAACCAGCCTATTCTTCATCGGCCTTTCTGCAATTTTGTACAACCTGGAATATTGTTCTTATTCATGGTCTTCCCTATAATTCCACAGATCAAGCCATCGTGGAATGTGCTCATCAGTCCTTTAAGGACTGCCTCCAAAACAAATTAAAAAAGGAGAGATCTCGGGTCCCCAATTTGTCGTGGGTAACACAACAGGTTAAAAAAGTATTATTTACCTTAAATCAATTGAATGTTTCTATTCGATCGCTTATCAGAGATACTTTCAACAGAAAACAAGCTTGCCTCCTCCTCTAGTATATTATCAGGCATTGCCAGACAAAACATGGTTGGGGCTGGTTCCTCTGATTATTTGGGGGCAAGGCTATGCTGCTGTGCTTGCTCCTACAGGACCTTTGTGGATTCCAGCTCGTTGCATCCACCCAGCCAAGGATGTTGTGGCACCAGTCCCCGGATCTGGTCCCAGAGATGGCAAGGGTGACTCTACAGATGGCACAGTGTCCAATCCTGTCCCATCATGCCAGTCATCCTGTGACATGGGGAGTTTAATTTTGCCCATGTTTGGCTATTGCAAGGATGGTTTTTTACATGTGGTCAAGAAACTTTTAATTATATTCCTGCTAATATTAGTGAAGCGCAGTGCTGCCTCAGCCGGCTGATTCCTGTTTTGCTTTCCAAACAACAAATTCACTTGAATCGTTCTCAATGTGGGGTCACGCTAGATAGCACTTGTGACTCTGAAACAGCCTTACTTAATAAAGCAGAATACATAACGCTAGCTGTATCTATAGTGGGCGTGCCAGCACTTGCTGCTTACACTCACCTTAACATTAGCTCTGTTGCATGTAATTTAGCAAAAAACAATTAATGCTACTTCTTTAGCTATCTCAGCAATCAACCACAAGATGCAAGCATTAAGAAAGGCTATTTTACAAAATCGTGCTGCGGTTGATTATTTGCTTTTGCGCCAGCATTTGGGTTGTGAAACTTTGGATGGACTATGTTGTTTTAATTTGCCTGATGAGTCACAAACCAACCAGCACCAGCTTAATATTTTAAACAATTTGGCCTCGGATTTGAAAATTTATAATTTAGGATCTTGGTGGGAAAGCTTTTGGGTTTGGTTGCCCACAAGCTTAATGGGAAATATTCTACACTATTTAGTCATTATTTGTGCTATTTTGATTGGTGGATGCTGCTTTGTTCAATGTCTTCCTTCCCTTTGCAACATATGTATCACAGCTTTTTACTCCAAACCCCCTCCCACACTGCCTCAGGGTCAGGTTTATGGCCTGTATAAGCAATTGCAGGGAAGTTCCTCTCCTGATTATGATCCTTTTATTAATCCCTCTTACGACGATGCCTTGTCTAACAAAACAAAAAGAGTGAAATGTAGTAGAGATAGAGATCCTGTAAGGGGTGCAAGCAGCACACTGCCGTACCTCAAAGCCTATATGTCCTCAAATACCTACATGATCTCACTCAGCAGAACACTGTCCCTGGCTGGTACATGATCTCACCTGGCTAACATCACCAATTCCTGACTTGTATATTCTTAAGGAATTCACCAATAAAAATGCTGTTGCTGCTTTACCTTTTTCTGCTTGTAAAAACTGTATAAAAGCAATAAACACTGCTCAGGCAGTCAGACTTCTTGGCACCCTGCAAATGACTGGTCTTTGACTCCATCATTTAGCCTTATCTTTTCTATCAAAAGAATTATTTTGATTCAAGTTACTATTCATAACATTCTTATGTAGATACTTGTAAAATTATTTAAGGCCTTAAAATGTATGTTCTGAAAATATGTATCTGTTTTAAATTGAGCATAAGCCTTGAAGCAGACTCCAGCAATGAATAAACTTAAAAAACAAATGCATTCTAAATAATTATTGAAGTGAACTTTCCATATTGAAACATCAAAAGTATGGGATACTCATTGTAAAAATTTGTGCAATAACTTCCATTAGCATCATATTATGGTCTGAATTTTACATATGGTCTCAATCTGTGCAAAGAGAAAAAGAAAGATCTTTTTTTTAAAATAGACTTTATTGAATTTTTATTACATTAAAAACATAAGAAATGTATAACTCAATAACAGCTATTTGTAGTGCTTATCGTATGACAATAATTTGTGCATTATTTACAGGTATTAATTTATGCATAATTATATTCTTATTCTATTACTTATATTTAATAATTACCTATCCTAAATCTATCTCCGATCTATCCAGCTATACCATTGTTCCCACACCTTATAAAATATTGAAGCTTCTTTATCTTTTAAACTCAGCTTTAATTTATCCATTTCAGCACAGTTCATAACTTTTTGTATAACCAGTTTCTCTGTGGGTATGTATGGCTGTTTCCAACATTGGGCAAAGGCAATCCTGGCAGCAGTCAATATGTGTAATAATAAGTATTTTGTGCTCTTTACATTTTTTTTTTTGAAGATCCCCAATAGGAAGAGTTCTGGTTCTAAATCTAATTGTTCATTGGTAATTTCCTGTAGCCAATTTTTTATTTTAAGCCAATATTTTTGAGCCTCTGGGCAAGACCACCACATATAATAATATGTTCCCTCTATTTTTTTTACATTTCCAACATATAGGACACATTTTAGGGTACATTTTCGGTAACATTGAAGGGGGTAAGTGCCACCTATAGAACATTTTATATGCATTTTCTTTGTATGCTGCTGATTTTGTTAATTTGTGATTTCTGTTCCATACAGTCTCCCAATTTGATAACTTTATCTTGTGACCAATATTTTGACCCCCTGCGATCATGCATCCTTTCACTACTTCTTCTAATTCTACTTCCAGGAGATATTTGTAAATTTTGGTAATATGTTTTTTATCTGGGCCTAATAAAATTTTGTTTAATTGTTGTGGTTTCAGATATATTCTGTAATCCTTTATGTCCTTTTTATATTGGCTTTGTATTTGGAAATAAGCCCACCAGTCTACTCGTAGCCCTTGTTCTTTGAGCTCTTGTATTGTTTTTAAATTTCCATGAATATCCAATAAGTCTTTATACTTTAACATTTTGTTCAGATCTAAATTATTTGGGTGGGTCGTTGCTTCCATTGTGGATAGCCAGATTGGGATTTTTATATAATGTTTCTTTTTAACTTTGATCTCGTTGTTTATCAACGAATCTCTAATCAGATGTCTGTGGAAATATTTTTGTTTGGTGGGTCCTGTATCCCAAAGAAAGGCATGCCATCCTCTCTGAAGGTCATGATCTTCTATAGCTAATATTCTTTTATTCTTTAAGTTAATCCAATCTTTTAGATTTAGCCAAACTAATATTGCTGCACTATAATATAATTCCCAGTTTGGCAATCCAAAACCTCCTCTGTTCTTCATATCTTGTAGTAATTTCATTTTTATTCTGGGTTTTTTATCCTGCCAAATAAATTTAAAGATCTTTATATCACTTGCCACCTGCTAAGAATTAAAGAAAAAAAAGTATTCATATCATATTATTTCTTTATGGTGTAAGTAATGTTATATACATAGAAGATATAGTAATCCAAATAAAAGTATGAGATAAGAAAAATAAAAGAAAGTATAGATTCATTCATTCTACATCTCCAATACTATCATTACAACCTATTCTTTTTTATCCCATATCCATACATAGTTGCATACCTATCTGTTTGCCCTTTAAACTTTCCCTCTTTTACTTTACATGGAAAAATAGAAAAAGAGTAGAAAGCATGAACATCAGAGTAGTCTATATATGGAGAAGTGTATTGAAGAAGTAATAAGATGGGTTGAGGCATCAAGAAAAATGATACCATATCTTAAAGGTTTTAAAGAAAAACATACTGTGAAAAAAGCATTAGCCTCCCAAAGCTTTGATTCCTCTTTTATTCAGCACCCTTTTCCCATCTGGATAAATGCCAAAGAAATCAACTGAGGACCATGAGTTGTTAAGCAAGCACCCCCCCCCCCAATCCAAGCCATTCTGGCCTTGGTCCCTCTTACCTCCCAAACCTCAATAAGGTAAGGGAATACCTATCCTAGCTCTTCCCTTTTGGCTGCTCCATATTGCATGGCAGCAAGCTGACTCACAACTGCTTACCGCCCTCTCAGAAGTCATAAATATCCCAGACCAGTGCCAGCTGCAATTCCCCCTCACCACCCTACACATTCCAAAACCCCTGCCACCCTGCGCTTTGTAGCCACAGTTGAACTTTGCTGTTTTCCTGCTCCCATTGCTGATGAAAAATGACCAGCCAGATGCTGGGCCAGACTGGGCTGGACTTCAGCTGGGGGGGGGGGGTGTCAAAAGAAGCCCCAGAGCCGAAGCATGCCAAATGCCCTTTTATAAAAAGCTCCTGGACCACAGCATACAAAAATACCCCTTTGCAGAAAATGTTCCTGGGCCAAGCTAGCAAAAGAAAAAAGAAAAAAAGGAGGGGAGGAGCCAAAAACTGCCCCAGAATCATAGCATGCTAAAAAGTTTCTTTACCTTTGCTGCTTTGGGCTTTTTATTTTTTATTTTATTTTTGGAAATGCAAAGCCTGCCTTATCCAGAAGCTCTTTGCAAAGGGGCTTTTGGTATGCTATATGCTCTGGGGGTACTTTTGGCTTTTTTTTTCACAGCATGAACCCCAGGCCCAGGCCAACATTAAGGCCAGCCATGCCTTGTCAGCAGAAGCAAGAAAAAAGAAGAGCAAAGATGGCAAAATCAGCTGGGACAGTACAGCACAAGGTGGCCGGAGACCAAAAGGGCATGGGTGTCGGTGGGGGGAAACATAGTTAGGTGGTATTTCTGCAATCGTAAGTGCAGGTAGTCTTCTAGGCTCCCAAATTTTGATCATAAGACCACTGTAACAGTTGTAACTTTGGGCACATGAATCCTAAGTTTCTTCATTTAGCACTGCCATAACTTTGAATGGTCACTAGGTGAATTATCATAAATCAAGGTCTACCTATACATTCTTAAACTGTTCTATAAGCTGACATGTTAGAATTGTAGATCATTTTTTTAATCTATGAACAGCTTCTATTTATAGAGGTAAATCAGAGGTAAAAAGTATGAAATATATTTTCAAGTATGCTGAAAATTAAAATATAATATACTGACCCAAAGAGGAAAAAAACAATGAATTTATTTTTATAACAATTTATTGTTACTAGATATAATGAATTTACATTACATAAATTATCTATACATCCAAATGATCCAAATGATACCCCCATACGCATGAGGAAGCTTTCACCAGGTTCGGAAGCAACCAATATTTTAGTAGATTGCAAAATCATCATCATCATCATCATCATCATCATCATCATCATCATCATCATCATCTTGCTACTCAAGAACAAGCACCGCAAACTAATGCCATGAGAGTGAAGATACAAAAATCCACTGACAACCCAAACTGCCAACTTTGCAATGACAAAGGTGAAACTGTTTCACATTTAATATGTGAGTGCAACAAAATTGCACAAACTAATAACAAAACTAGACATAACCGAGTTGCTAAATTTATCCACTGGTCATTATGTAGAAAATATGACTTATCTGTATCTGAAAAGTCATGGGAACATAAAGTGGAAAAAGTTGTTGAAAACAAGAAGGTGAAGATCTTATGGGATTTTCGAAAAGTACAATTTATTTATATTGCTGTACCAGGAGATGCCAGAGTTGAAGAAAAAAAACTGGAAAAATATTGCGACCTGGCCATCAAAACTACACGATTATGGATGAAACATGAAACAATGATACCCATTGTCATCGGGGCACTTGGTACCATGTCCAAGAATTTTGCAAAATACATCAAGAAGTTGCAGCTTCCAGCTGTAGCACCAGCAGAGCTGCAAAAGCCTGCACTACTTGGAACAACATACATTTTAAGAAGATACTTGGTTGATACCTAGGATGCTGGCAGCAACCGGTATCAACCATCAGAGCCAGTCAATGATACTTTAAATATTCAGTTGACTGAGTTTTATGTTTAATGAATAAAAGATTAATAACAATAATAATAATAATAATAATAATAATAATAATAATAATAATAATAATAACAACTACTACTACTACTACTTCAGGAAAACTTTCAAAAGTCCCTTATTAACTGAACTTTTTGCAGACACACAAAATTGTTCAATAAGGAAAGGAGGAGAAAAAAAATACAATGCAAAAGAAGGGGAAATGAAAAATCTTGGAAGAATTTACCTGTTAAATAGTTACAGGTAAATTAATCGCAATTTGGCACTTCAACTGTTTCCTGATAGTTTTGTAATTAAGAAATTAAACTGAGTTACAGTTTGATTTCTACATTTCAAGATATAGTGATCTTTATTTAGTGCTGAACTGGGAAATATGGAGACTAGGAGTGCTCATTTCACTTGACACCTTTCCACTAGCTAATTGCAGTAGGCAGTTAATAACCATATCTTTGGCTTTGGTGGTCTTCATGTTCATCTCTTGAGATAACTTCATGCTGATTTGATCTACATTTGTCATTATGAACTCCGAAGTCAAGATTTGTGTGGGAGATATGCTGCTGCCCGTCACATCCATGATATATTGTTTATAAAGCTCTACCACTTTCTCCTCCAAATAATTATTCAGAATTGAATTTGAGAGAGGCTGCTGATGTTGCCTGATGCTGGACACCCTCCAGCATGATGAATTCCTTTGGGATGGTTTCTGTGGGATCTCAGCAGGTAGCATTGGAATTGAATCTATTGGCAATGGAATCTCTGATGATTCCAAGAATGGGCATATCCCACTGTCAAAAATAGCATCTCTTTTATTTGAATTCATTGGTAGCACCTGATCACCAGCAATATGCAAGTCACTGTAGTTCTTACAAATGCTTTTACAAGAAGAAGGAACAAGGTAAGTGTCCTTGCTTATGGATGATCCCACATAAATTTCCACAGGTTCGGATGTTTGCCTTTCAAATATTGGATATTGAATAATTTGTGTCAATGTGTTTTTCTTTTGTTTATTATTTTTGGTTTTTTTTGAAGAAACAGAGATCATAAATGTGTCCATGGATCTATAATTCCAAAATAAACTTCTACTTTGCATGTTGCCTGTTGATTCACAAGTGACGCCATTTAATGACTTCAATTCATATATTGCCTCTTCTGTTTCTGCTCCATAAAGCGTGTAATTCAAGAGCTCATGATAAGGGATTTTACAGAGATATCCTTCAGACAACATTCTTTGGGGAGGGAGGAGAAGAAAGAAAGATTATCAGAACATGTTAAATATTACTAATAAAACAGAGTGACTGTGAGTTTAGTGGCTGTAATACAGTATTTGATCAAATATAATGTGGTGACCTTGAAATGAGTATGGTATCTAAAGTCATTCTTAATTAATCATAATCACTGTTTCAAAGCTCATGAAACTTAAAACAAGACAAACCAGCCATTCCAGTCAGGTAACATATATTACATACTTGTAAGTGTTTATTGATAAATCAGGAGCTAAATTCTATTAGGGTAGCCACAATATTTGTTTCTCATTATGAAGACCATGACAACAGAAGACCAATCTGTTCCTTTCCATGAGACAACAAACAGCTGTGGGGAATTTGCTGAGTCATTCACTTCCAAATAAAAGAATTCTGCTTTTGCTAATTTGGAAAGTACAAGGGCAGCATTACTGTGCTGCATTTATCAGCTACGGTAATTTTAATCACAGTCTTTGGCCTTGGGAATTCTAATTAAAAGAAACAAAGGCCAAAAATAGCATTTCAAAAAACCACAGCAAAAGAATATAAAATACCTAAGAATGATATGTTGCAAATCAAAAAATGTTTACCAAGAAAATGTTTTCATTTTCCTTTTTTCCCATTCCACATCCTGGTGTTGTTGTTTTTTATTGTGAACCTGCAAAAAAGGGCTTTCCTTCTATTTTGAATTGCTTATATTCAAATATGGGCTACTTTGGAAGACAATAGTTTTTGGGGAAAAGTATTTTTTAAGCAATATATCATTTTAGCATATCTGAATAGTAGTAGTTGGTTAATATTGGTTAAGCTTAAAATATTAGTAAAGGTTCTCAAAATTATTTGAAAAATAATATTTTACAATAATTTGACCGAAATATAGAAACCATAAATTAATCATCAAGTGTTTCTTTAACAGTATTTATGGACTTAAAATAAGTTCTAAAAGAAAAGAATATCTGTAGCTCAAACTTGAACTGTGGAGTTCTTTGTGCTCTCTGAGTTTGGTTATTTGCTTGTAGAGGTTTCATTACCCAACTAGGTGACATATTTTATCAGTGAATATGGACTTTGCTGCCTGTCTATATATATACTAGCTTCCCCTGCCAGTTTTGGTGGAGATGTAATTTCTTGTTGGTAGTTTCTTTGACCAGGTTATTGTTTTCTGCACAATTGTTTGCCTGGTGCTGATCCATTATCTGAATGTAGGCTGATGAGGGGGGATATGTTGTCTTTTTGTTTGCATCCTAGGGTTTTTTATTATCTCTTTTAAATGTTGTGTAACTATGGTTTATGTCTGTGTATTTACTGGTGACTGATTTGCTTGAACATAAGCTTCCAGGAATTTCCTAGCATTTTTTGGATTTGGCTTGGTTTGGGAAGCTAAGAGTTTTTCTGTTGAAACTGTGTTTGAGTCTGTCCACAGGGTATGAGATTAAGGAGTTTTCAACATGCCTTCTGCAGCTGGTGTTTTGGTGCACTTAGCTAGTCTGTCTGTCCTACATCGATGACTGTTGCAGTCTTTGCATTGTACATTGTATGTGACCCTTTTTTCTTCCTGGGTTATTGGATCATTTGATTTTATTAAGATGTTTTGAAGGGCTTTAACCAAAATCTCTTGTCCAATTTTGCATTGAAATGTATCTGATATTTTTGGATAGTTTTAATGATCTTTTAAGCCAGAGACCCCCAACCTCTGGGCCACAGCCCACTACTGGACTATTTGCAACTAGGCTGTGTAAGTGGCAGGCCAGCATGCACATGTGCACAGCTCAATTAATGTGAGTGCCAGGCTGGTGTGTATGCACGTGCAGCTCAATTTGTGCAAGTGAAACTATTAAAAACTATTTTTTTATTCATCTGGTTTAAAAAAGAATAAATAGAATAGAATAGAGCTGGAAGGTCTTCTAGTCCAACCCCTTACTCAAGAAAGAGAACCTATACTATTTCAGATAAGTGATTGTCTAATCTTTTCTTAAAAACCTCCAGTGATGGGAGTGCCCATGATTTCTGAAGGCAAGGTTCAGTGGTTAATTGTCCTCACTACTAGGAACTTCCTCCTTAATTCCAGGTTGCTTCTTTCTTTGGATAATTTCCAGCTCTTTTTTCTTGTCCTGCCTTCTGGTGCTTTGTAGAATAATCTGAGCCCCTCTTCTTTGTGGCAGCCCCTCAAGTACTGGAATACTGCTATCATGTCACCCCTAATTCTTCTTTTCTTTAGACTAGTCAAACCCAAATCCTGAAGCCATTTTTCATGTTTTAGTCTCCAGGCTTTTGATCATCTTAGCTTCTCTTCTCTGAACTTTTTCCAAAGTCTCAACATCTTTTTTGTAGTATGGTGACCAAAATTGGTTGCAGTATTCCAGGTGTGGTCTTACTAGGGTTTTATAAAGTGGTACTATACTTCATGTGATCTTGATTCTATGCCTGCTTATACAACCCAGGATTGTATTAGCCTTTTTTGGCAGTGGTGGCTGCACACTGCTGGCTCATATTCAAGTTATCATCTACTAGGACTCCAAGGTTTTTCTCACAGTTATGGTTTTTGAACCAGGTCTCACCTAATCCGTAACCTTTGGTTTTTCCTGCCTAAATGTAAAACTTTGCTTTTCTCCACATTAAAATTTGTTTTGTTGGATAGGGCTCATTGTTCAAGTTTGTCAAGATCTTTTTGGATCCTGAGTTTGTCTTCAGGGGTTGTGGCTATTCCTGCCAGTTTAGTGTCATCTGCAAATTTGATGAGTTCCCCTTCTCATCTAAGTCAATTATGAAGATAATTGAGTACTAGGCCTAAGACAGAGCCTTGTGATACCCCACTGCTTACTTCTCTCCATGTGGATGTAGTACCATTAAGGATATAATACTATTAAGGATGTAGTACCAAAACAGCAATCGCACATCCACTTGACAGATAATATATGTGACCTACTACCTAGTAATCCAGTAGGATCATGCTTTTTTTAAAAGCATTATCCTTTACAAGCCTTTGCAAAATGGCTATCAAATCAGGGCTAAATTAAAAGTTGCTGGGGTACGAATAATTATTATCTGAAGCAGAGGAAAGAGAAGCATTAAAAGCAAATGAGTAACAGAACAGTGAGTTATTTTAAGCAGGCTTGTATCCTTACTGGAAGCAGCTCTCTGAAGTTCTAGAGATAATCTTTTAAGCCCAATTTGGAAATTTGAAATGCTTCCATAGAAGTTGGTAAAGAGCTTAAATGTAAAGAGAAAGAGAAGAGAGCAATAAAAAAGCACATGCAAGTACGTTACAAGAAAGATGGTAAAGCTGAATCCTGTTATATCTTTCACAATCATATCTTACTTCCTGTTTATAAGCAAAGGGCAAAAAACCAGAAGGGTGAGTTCAGCAGCAAAGACGTTTAATATGTATTGTGTTCCTTGTTCAAGAATGTATCTCTTTTAGTATACAGATTTCTGATGAACCTGAAGACAAATCTGAACAGATCTCCTGTTGACAACTGAATGTTATGCTTCAACTATTTCTTTATATCTCTACTATCTCGAAACCCGTGCTTTGCTATGAAACTATGTGGTTGGGCTTAGTTTTGGGGGAGGAAAATAAGTGGAAAAAATTCTGCCTCTGCCTACCAGCATCCATTGGTATTCATCTGGCTAGCATCCTGTCAGTGTTTGAGAGAGTTGAGGGCTGCTTGGAAACTGAAACAGTATTTGCTGTGTGAGCAAGGAGACAGCTAGGAGCTTGGGCGTGGCTTAGCTCAACTGTTCTGTACTAAAGCTGCTTGGTACTGTGAAACTAAAACTGAAACTCCTCTCCTCTGCTTGTATTTTGCATTTGTAACAGATTTTTCAGGTGGGGAGGGGGAGTAGAATTCCTTAGTATCAGAGCACATTAATAATAATATACGAAATACTAATGCTGTGATGGTCATTTTGAAAAAGTCTTTCTTAGTGAGCACCTAGAAGCCAAGAAGTACATGCCAAATTTAAAGTTTGTAGGCTTTACAGTTCTGGTGATTTTGTGATGATATGTGAGTGGTATTTTACTTTTAGATATAGGTAGGTATATGTACCTGTCCTAAAGGAAACCTTAAAGTATAAGGCTATTGGAGAAGAAAACACAATTGGTTTCAGAAAAAATGGCAAAGATCATTCACATTTTCTAGTAGATAAAACTGAAAAACATTTCTGGCTTTTATTGAATACCATTAAATGAATAGTAATAACCATTAAATGAATGGTTATAATGAATACATAGCTACCAGCCATGATAGACTTTAACTGTACCTTATCCAATAATCAAAGAGTGAACGTTCTGCACAGAAAAGATATCCAAACATTTACATTCATTGTCTAAAGCTGCATTTTTTTAGACCTAGTGAGTTCCTACACTAGGATGACTGAAAAAGGAAAAGATAATACATAAAAAACAGCCCATTTCCAGTAAAGTTTGTGTGAAATGAGGTTTAAGAAATCAAGTTATCACTCAAGCATGTTGCAATAGACTAGAC